ATTGTTGCTTCCGCTGACTCTTGTGTATCGAGCTATGTATTCGAGCCCTCGAGGCCCCTGGCTTGTAATATAAAGCTTGTATTATTTTATTTGTGTCTAGAGTTGTGTTGTGATATCTTCCCGTGAGTCCCTGATCTTGATCGTACACATTTGCGTGTATGATTAGTGTACGATTGAATTGGGGGCGTCACACTAATTAAATAGGGTTGATACTAATTGTAATTAACTAACTAGCACTAAAAATAGCCTAGGGTTCATACTAACTAGCACTAAATAGCTAGGGTTCATACTAACAGAGAGCAGAGAAGAGGGAAGGGGAGAGTGCTTACAGAGGGCGGGGAGAGAGATGGGGTCGAGGGAGACGGCGGCACCGAGGTGCGGCGAGGCGAGGTCGGGGGAGACGGTGGCGAGGCGGGGTCGGGGAGACGGCGGCGAGGCGGGTCGAGGTCGAGGAGGAGGAGCGGCTCCGGCAAGGTCAAGGTCGAGGAGGAGGAGGCACAGGCGCGCGGCGATGTCGAGGGAAGACTCTGCCGGAGAGCGAGGGCAGGGCCTCTGGTGAGGGCGAGGGCAGGGGCTCCGGCGGAGGTGACGAGGGGGAGAAAAGAGAGTGGGGAATTGGGGGAGGAAGCATAGGAGAGGGAAGCCAGCGCGGGGATTAGGTGAAAATAGCTTTAACAGTAGCGTGGGGAGCGAAAGCGCGCTACTGCTAAAATCCATAGCAGTAGGGTGCCCTCACAAACTCGCTACTGCTAAGATGGGCCCGTCCTGTGGTGCGTTCAAACTTAGCAGTAGCGCCCAACCCTAAAAGTGCGCTTCTACTAATTCTCTAGTAGTAGCGCGGTTTGTGGAAGGGCGCTACTACTATTCCTAGCACGGCGGGAACAGTGTGGCAATTATAGTAGTAGCGCGTTTTGTTCCTGCCGCGCTACTGCTAACTAGCAGTAGCGCCTCATTTTAACACGCGCTACTGGTAATATTCTGTGTATAAGGTTTTCCCTAGTAGTGATATTTAGTGACAGTCAAAGTGTTACCAAGAATCCAATGTACCATGAGAGAACAAAGCACATTGATGTCAGATATCACTATATTCGAGATGTTGCTGCTGAAGGTGATTTGAAGGTATGCAAGATAAGTACTCATGATAATCCTGCTGATATGATGACAAAGCCAGTTCCGACCAATAAGTTTGAGCTTTGCTCAGGCTTAGTTGGTATTTCTCATTAGTCCTATGGACTTTGACATACAAGGTGTTTATGCTGATTTGGATGAAGTTATTCACTTTCTTCGACAACTGGAGGGAATTTGGATCAAGGTGGAGATTGTTAAATTATGATCTAAGTTCTAGTACCGTATTGGACTAGACGTAGTACATACGGTGTGGGCTTTTGCGTTGGTACCGACGTGTATGAGTATAACTCGTTTACTTGTCCTCAAAGGACTCTAATGTATTGCCCTCATATATACCCTATGTAGTCGCACCTCAGACAGTCTATCGTCTCGTGCTTGTAATACTCCTTCTCATAGTTTGGGCCTTCATGCGTCCGTAGTTTTCTCTGGCAAGGGTTTCCACGTAAAAATCCGTGTCTCTCTGTCTCGTTTATTTCTCGTTATTATCTAACACTATTTAGCTGTGTGCATCTTAGTTATGCAGACACCCGGTGTAATGCTTAAATCTTTTAAGTAATAAATCGCCCCTTTTCGAAAAAGAAGCTTTTATGACTAGGACTAAGCAGGAGCAACACGACAGCCTCGTTGACCAGTCCATTGTAGCAAATGAAGGATCTGGTGGTAACGGTATCAAGACATACAATGAAGCCTACCAGTGATCCGAGCCCTCGTACCAATTCGTCTCTTAGTTGTTCCGAGTGTTATATTCTTCAGAGGTCATCAGGTTCAGAGATTCATAGTCCTGACACAGGGTCAACCAAGGCGTCATTGCCATGGACATGAACTAGGAAGCGGCGACGATGGGCTGTCGGTCATGTCTGATCGACTATCGAGGTAGTTTCAAGCGTGAGGCATTCTAGAGAAAGACCATCTCCATTCTTAGGAGAAACTGGCCAATAAAATTGTGTATCAGAGAAGCATCTTTGCTGTCTTCTTTTCTTGATGTCCAATCATCCAATGTAACTCGGCTTGGCTAGAGTTGTGTCTTTGTGTGTTGGTGTACTAGAGTCAGGAAGTTGCCCGATGAATACACTCCAACGCCGGTCTCGGAATTAATACTCTGGTAAAGTAAAATTAAATACATTGTTTACGACAAAACAACATCCTGATCATTGTCCTGCGTTTGTGTATATCCTTCGTTCTATCAGATAGATTATGGTTGGTTTCGTTTGAATAAAATGAATCCAGGGTGGAGCCCTATTTTTCTAGAAGGAAATTGGATTACAAAATAGGTCAAAGAATCAACACGGCACCTACGTGTTCCGTCTAGACTGAAACACCTGAGGAAAACGGGAGGCAAGAACAAAAATGCCTGCAATTTTTAGAAATCGCTGTCATGTTGAATGTGTTAATTCCGATCAAAATGACTCAACAGTTAACAACGTGAGTGCTGAACTACTGGCTGGTGAGAGCAGAGATCGTGTGCAACCTTACGATCATTAGAATCCGAAAGAAAGAAACACTACTAAGAAATGCTAACCATTTGGTATCAAGAGCCTAACTCAACTGGTTTGGGGAGTGGATGTACAAACCTAGCACCTGAGTTTAAATCCACATGGAGGCGAATTTAGGTTTCTATTTATTCTTGAGGACCAGCCTTCTATGGTACTCATGCAGTTTATCTAAAGGACCAAGCTTGGTTATTAATTAAGATAAAAATCTTGGTACTCATGCTTAATGGTTGCATGCATCCTTAGTTGGTGCAGAGGCGAGTCTCCTCTCCGCCACCGCCAGCGACGAGCCAGGGTAAGCCCGAGCGGCTCGGCGGTGGTGGCCTTCTTCTCGCGCATCCGATGCTCAAGGTCGATGCGGCGGTTCCGATCTTGATCCCTCAGCAGTGATGGTGGACAACAATGGCTGGAGTGTGGCGGCGGGTCTGTAAGCGCAGCGGTAGGTGGTGGGGGCGCCCGGGACGGGGACCCTCGGCTTGGCAGTGGTGGTTATTTCCTCTATTGGAGGTGGCCGGCCTGAGGCTGGGCGCTCGGATCTCAAGATCCGTCATCTAGTCCCGGCAGCGAGTCGAGGAGACATAGTTGCTGGTGAAAACCGAGTCGACGTTGGGCGATGGCGGCGTTCTGCGCTGTTACCTTGATGAAGGCATCGTCATGTAACTACTGTCGACCCACTTGTACTGCTCCGGGGGTATCCCTAGGATCTGGTCTTCCGGATCAAACGATGGTGGCACTTCGGTGTCGTTTCTCTCTTGGGAGCATCGTTTGTGGAGCAGAGCTGGAAGACAGAGGTAGGAGGTGGAGCGGCTCCGTCTTGCACGGAGCTTCGGTGTAGATGTCAATCCATGCCTAGTCGACAAGTGCTATGCCGTGTCATGCCTGTTCGGCAGGTGCTACGCACAACAGATCTTCCAGAGATTTCAAGTTGTGTCTGTTGGTGGTACTTGGCGGCATGGTGCTGTGGTGTACCGGCGGCGACCGCGACATGCTCAGCAGTTGCCGCGTAGGGAGGTGGAGCCATTGGGTGTTGTGGTGGCGCCGACGGATGGCAAGGATGATGCAGATCTCTTCCTGGAGATGGGTCGGTGGTTCGATGATGATGGCGGCTTGTAAAATGTGTGCATGTCGTGTATGCTTTCGTTAGCCGGCTGTCGCTTTTAGATATGAAGAATGAGAGCACCTCCACATTATCGAGTTTGTAGGTGTGAGCGGTGGCTTGAGGTGGCTTGATATATGTTCTTGTCAGATATTTGTTGAATAATTAATAAAGATGACTATATACGTCGATGTAGAGGCCACGGGAATACTCTATGTATGATCCATTGAAATCTAATATATAACTAGTACTGCAAGTGATGGCGAAAAATGACATTCAATGAAAAAACAACTCTTAATCTAGTCATATACAGTTATAATAATACAATCAACACTTAAATTCAAGTTACATCACAACTGAGGGCATTTCAGTCATTTCAGCACGTTCCTGCACCAGCCGCAGCTGCTACAGCACAACTACCAAATGACTGCATCTCAGCTGCAACCGTTCAACCGGCCGCAGCTATCAGCTATAGCCGCTCCATCCAGCCGGAGTTGTTGCAGTTGCAGCAGTGAAATTTGCAGCCCAAACAAACACAAACTTAACCTCCTTTTCAAAAAAAATGGTATCAAGAGCACATATTGTGGTAGGCACTGCACCTTCAATTACACACTTAGTTTCCTGCGCCTGCTGACTTCAGTTACTGCAGCTTCAGGTCCAGCGGAAGTGTCTCGGTAATGGGAAGATAGAGGGGCAAATTCATTTTGATGAATTCTGTTTAAAACAAAACTGTGAATGTTTATTTTCCACGAAACCTCTCTGAAGAATGGCGGGTCATATACGAAATAGCAAATTGCTAAAGAGAACACATCAAAAACCACCAAATCACAGCAAGGAACGACATGTAAACTCAAGTGCCCAACTAACAGCAGAACTACCAAATAGCTGTTGATATCAGATACTTCATCTAAGAGAAATGCAAAGTAAAAAATGAATGCAGGACCATCAACTCATCAACTCATTGCAAGAACCCCAACAGTGAAATGCTCCGAAGCATTGACAATCACATTAAGGAGATGAATTTCAGAAGAGCGACACTGAAACGACTACTACAACCAGCATCGCACTACCAATCTTTGATCACTACTACAGAGTTGTTCAGCCATTGGACGCAACGTTTTCACCAAGTTTAGCTAGCAGAAGAAACACATGAGCTGCTGAGTTTTCTGAACCTATATCTACGTATCTATAGGCAAAAAGTGGGCATCCAGTTCTGTTGTCGTCGTATCTGAGGCGACGCAACTTATGAACAGGTTAACTGTCAGGCCTCCCGCTCCGAGCTTTCTCTACACTGCGTCCACATCTGGATATCGCAGATCATCGTACGCTGAATCAGCAGAAAGTATGAACCAGTTAGGCAGCAGACCAATACTCAATAACGGTATAAACAAGACAAAACCTGAAACAATATTATGTGCAAGGATATTGTAAGATACTACTCCATAATTCTAATCTTCTCAGGTGAAGGAGTATCTGAATTTTATTCACAGGTGAGAAAATTAGTATCTTCTCTGCAAAGGAGAAATGAGATGTCTGAGCTTGATTTGGCTTTTAGAGTCCATAATTCTAATCGGCAAATGTTATGAATTGGGCGTACTGAATTATCTGAATCAAAGACAGAAGTGTGCAACTAGGTTCAGACCATAAATCCACATGGCATTGACACCTACTGTTACATTTCTACATCCAACTACTTTACTTTTCTACAAGACTGCAACAGTATGAGACAAGCGCATCATAATATCAGATTAGCACTCCACTAAAGTAAAATCTCAAATATCATGTTCATGCAGCAAAATAGTATCTACACCAACATCTGTGCATAGCAGATCCGAGACCAACAGCACATTTCTCACTAAAGAGGGTCAGTAGGGAGGACATGAACAATCTAAATCTCAGAATTATGCAAAATAAAAAATAATACTGTATTTAGTTTAGTGTTGTTGGAACCTAAATGGGCCAAATCAAACGGATATCACCATCTTATCTGTTAACGCTGAAAAGAGATGAATAAACTGATTTGGAGTTTTAAGTTCCATAATGATTTGTTAACTAGCCACGGATCATCTTTCATCTATCTAAAAGATTACTACAGCTGCAGACAATTCCCAACACCTAACAAGTTTCAGACTACAACAGTTTCAGTTAACCTTTTCTCCTCATACTATAACTGTTCCAGTAAATTACTCAAACACAAGCAGATTAGCCATGCAGAAAATAGTAACTACATCAATCAAAACTACCGGTTCACTTCTTGTCACCATCAAGAAATCTTCAGGAAGTTGTGAGTTGTGGCATGGAGAGAGGCTCACCAGGGGTCCCGGACAGCATCACGACAATCTGGAGGGTCTCGGCGTGGCCAGCGTAGCGGGTCAGGTCGACGACGAGTGGAGTCAGCCTCCCGTAGCGGCCCGCTCGGACGCACATGGCGATGCCGGCGGGGGGCTGGCCGTCGATGAAAGCGACGCCGTCGGCCAGCTCGTCCCTCAGGTAGTTCACGGACCTCCCCCTGAAAGGGAACAAGAACCAGCCGTCCTCGCCGTAGAACCCCTCGGCGGTCGCTCGCACGAACACGATCAGCCGCCACGCCTGGCCGAGCATGATGTAGAGCACGCGGTTCTGCAGTTGAGTTGCAGGTTATGTTCAGCAGAAGCAAGAATCGAAATCTCGAGAAGTCAAGAAGTGCAAATTTAGCAAGAACAGATCACGAATTGCTCTAGAGCGAATGAATTTGGCAATTCGAGAAGCTGGTCATGGCGAACTCACGGGCGGGCCAGGAAGGTCAGGCATGCCCGCCTCTCTGGCGGGGATGGTCTCGACGATCCAGTACATCATGGTGCTGACGTGGTCCGTGTCCTCGACGCTGACGCCGGTGTTCCAGCCGAGGTACCTGCCGTTGGCGCGGAGGTAGCGGCCGCCGACGTTGCGGAGCATGACGTCGTCACCGAAGCCCGCCCCGACGGCCTGCCACATGATGGCCTGCATCTCCGGCTCATCGTAGTCGGGCTGCTCGGCGCGGAAGCCGTTGTGGCCGAGCGGCGCCGGCGTGGCCGTGGCGGCGAGGTAGCGGCCGTAGGCGGCGCTGTGGAGGAGCAGGTACACGGCGTCTCCCTCTCCGTGGTAGATGTGCACTGTCCACGCGGCCTTCAGCGAGGCGCGGCGGCCGCGGAGGGAGACGGTCTTCCCGTCGCTGTTGGCGTTGAGGTACGTGCCGTGCACGCGGCTCCGCAGCCACACGTGCTGCCTGTCGTGGAACCGGTCCATCGGTGGGCGCTGGAGAGCAGAGGCGGTGGGCGCTGCTGCGCGGTGGCGAGAGGTGCGGTTTCTTGGCGCTCCGGCGAGGAGAGGCGAGCTCTGTTGGCTGTTGGTTGAGGCGGTTGCGTCGGGCGCCAAGGTGAGGCACATAATAAGAGCCGTTCGCCTGGGCCGGCCCACGAAGATGCACCGAGGTTAACAGCAGTAAAAATAGAAAACTCAAAACAGTCGACGCAACGTAGCTCTGCTACAGTAAATGGCCTTACGTGCACAAAAACGCATCGCCAACTTATTTAGGAGTTACCGTTGCGGCATATTCCCGGTTCGATGTTAACTTCTGTACGTGTAGCATATATAATTCTGAAATTTGAAAGATATTTTGGAAAACACGAAAGAATTTTTGAAGCAATATGAACAAAATTTGAAATTAGAAAATAGTCTTTGAAAAACAAAACCAAAACTAGGAATTTCAAACATATTTTGAAAAATGTTCACATTTTCGGAAAACAAGAACAAAATTTGTGAAGGAGTTTTTTAAAAGTAGTAGAGAAGTTTTCTAATTTTTATTATTAACAAAAATGAATAAATTTTGATACCCCGAACGTATTTTAAAAGAATGAAAAAGAAATAGAAGTTCCGACATTGATAGGCAGAAAACTGAGTGTTCTAAGAAACGCAAACAGTTTCCAAATTCATGAACAATTTTTTGAAAAACAATAACATTTTTTAAAAACAGGAACTTTCTTTGAAAATCATGTAGACTTTTGAAAACGGGAACATTGTTCCAAATTCCAAAACAAAATTTAAATACGCCAACATATTTTGAAATTCATGAAAAAAAATTGAAAACACAAACATTTTTTAAAATTTGTGAACAATTTATGAAACTGGGACATTTTTTGAAACTCCGAAATATTGAAAACATGAACAATTTTTGACAAGGGGAACATTTTTTGTAACACCTGAACATTTTTGGAAAAGTCGTGAAAATTTTGAACAAAAGATTTTGGAATATTTTTTAGAAAATAAGACATTTTTTTAATCCAAAACATTTTTCTAAATTAATGAACAATTTTTGTAAAACGGCCATTTTTTAAAATTTCGAATATTTTTTAAAAGCAAGAACATTTTTCAAAAATTAAGAACAATTTTCGAACATGAACTTAGTTAAAAAAAGATAAAATAACCTTGAAAATGAAAAGGGGAAAAGAAATAGAAAACAAAACAAAAAAGAAGAAAAAGAAACAGAAACAGAAAAACAAAAGAAAAGAAACAGAAAAACCGGACAAAGAAGCAAAAGCCGGTTCAGGGAACCTTCTAGAAGGTTCCCAAAAACCGGCTGGCTAGTTGGGGTTGTCGTCTACGTAACTGGGCCAGCCCATAGCATCGCTGCACGGTCGCTCGCCCGTGCGAAGCGCCGGCAGTTTGACGCAAAGCGCGTCAAAAAGGAAATTCCGGCAAGGCCGGGGTATTTCAAGAGAGCAATTAGTTAACGAGCGCTCCTTCGGGAGACTTGCAACGATCAGCGTCACTCGGCGCGCTCTCAGTCATTCGCCACGTGCCGCGCTCTGGGCGCTTCCTCCGTTTTTTTTTCGCACGTGTTTTCGGCTCTTTAATTTTTTTTGTGTTTTTTGACGTTTTGGTTTTCCACAGGGCTTCCTTAGCTTTTCGATCAAAAATAATTTGAAAAAAAAATTGCACGAAAAAACGCATTTTCTTTTTTTCCTTTCGGTAGAGTCACGGTTTTGCTTTCGCGAGAGGCACGGTTTTGCTTTCACGAGAGTCAGGGCCGTGCTTCTCAGGAACGAAAAAAAACATGTTTTCTGTTTTTTTTCTTTCACGAGAGTCATGGTTTTGCTTCTGCGAGAGGCACGGTTGTGCTTTAGTGAGAGTCACAGTCGTGCCTCTCGAAAAAAAACACATTTTCTGTTTTTGTTTCCTTTCGCAAGAGTCACGGTTTTGCTTCCGCGGGAGGCATAGTTGTGCTTTCGCAAGAGTCACGGCCATGCCTCTCGAAAACGAAAAAAAACTTTCACGAGAGTCACGGTTGTAGAGGCACGGGCGTGCCTCTTTCGAAAAGGGAAAAACCCATTCTTTCGGTTTGGTTTTTTCGTCCGGTTTTTTCATGAAAAAGAAGTTCGTCAAAACCTATCAACATGGGATCTAGTTTTAAAGATCTCGACGTGAGAAATCCAATGGTGAAAGCGGTTCGAGATTTGGACGCACGGTTTAAGAGATAAAACGTTTTGAATAAACGAATCTACGAAAAAAGGGAAAACTCCCAGGTTGCGACAAGTGGCGCACATGCAGCGTGCCACTTGTTGCAACCTGGAGAGGTTGGAGTGATCTTTGCAACGAGTACTCCTCAACTAGTGATTTTGGTGTTTCAAGGCGCCTGACAGGCTGACACCATCGTCGTCCAAGGCTTGAGGCCTCCGGGCTGCGGGCCATTTCTTCGGCCCGGCCCACGCTCTCGAGCGCTGCCTCTGGCCCCTCACGGGTTTCATCCTCCCCTCGAACAAACGCGCGGTGGCGGCGGCCGGCAGCGTTGCTCCTTCTCTTGCCAGGAGCCTCTCCCTCCGCGCTGCCCTCTCCTTGCCCTGCGCCAACACGCCGGCGGCATTGATTCCTCTCCTTGCCCTGCCCTAGCACGCCGTCATGACCACGAAGCGGTCGGCGGCCTTGCTCCCTCTCCTTGCCCTGCCGCATCACGCCGCACGGCACGCCGCCACACCCGCCAGGCGCCACAGAAGCAGCGTGAAGAGAGTGAATCACCATCAGATCAGATCCGGCGAGACTGCTAGGTTGTGTCGCTCTAGTCTAGTGGCTTGCCCCTTACTTCTGGATTCTGGTGACCTGGCGTGTTGCTCTCCTGCTTGTGTCCTGGCTAAATTTTTTTAAATAATACATTTTTTATATTAAATTTCAGAAATATTACACCGTAATTGTATTTTTTTAAAAATATTACCCAATCGGCCTACTGCTGACCGATTGGATCCAGTCGGCCTACTGCTGGCCGATTGGCCCCGAGTCGGCCCACTGCCGGCTGATTGGATCCAGTCGGCCCACTACTGGCCGATTGGCTCCAGTCGGCCCACTGCTAGCCGATTGGCACCCAGTGTGATTCCTCTAGGCCGACAGGTGCATGCACCCATTTATCTGTTGAATAGGTATTTGAATAATGTTGAAGAAGTATTTGAAAAAATGTTGATCATGCATATAAAAATGTTAATCAAGCATTTAAAAAAATATTAAACAAGTATTTTAAAGATGTGAACAAATATTTGAAAACTGTTGAATAGGTATTTGGAAAATATTAAAGAAGCATTTAAAAAAATGTTAATCAAGCATTTGCAAAAAATGTTGAACAAGTATTTGAAAAAAATATTAATCATTTATATAAAAATGGTGAACAAGTATTTATAAAAATGGTGATCATGTATATAAAAATGTTGAACAAGTATTTAAAAAATGTTAAACAAGTATTTTTAAAAAATTGAACAAGTATTTGAAAAAATGTTTAACATCTGGAAGCTGGTGGGGTAGTTATTAGCTGCGTTGGGTATCGATGCCTGGTCTCCATGGCAATCACCAGTGCAGCTAACCACCCCATTAGTTTCCAGTTACTGGTTAGAAAAGGGACCGCGGCCAACTAGAGGCGACTGATCCGGTCTTCTCCATTATTTTTTTCTTTTTTTCTATATTATTTTTTCAAATACTTGTTCAAATTTTTTTAAATAATTGTTCAATTTTTTTCAAATACTTGTTCAACATTTTTATATAGATGATAATTTTTTTTACAAATACTTGTTCAACATTTTTATTTACAATCAATATTTTTTGAAATACTTGTTCACCATTTTTTTCAAATACTTGTTCAATATTTTTTCAAATACTTCTTCAACATTTGTTGCAAATGCTTGATTAACATTTTTATATATACATGATCAACATTTTTTAAAATACTTCTTCAACATTTTTCAAATACCTATTCAACAGTTTTCAAATATTTGTTCAACATTTTTCAAATACTTGTGCAACATTTTTTTTTCAAATGCTTAACTAACATTTTTATATGCATGATCAAATTTTTTTCAAATACTTCTTCAACATTTTTCATATACCTATTCAACATATAGATGGGTGCATGCACCTTTCGGCCTATAGAAAGTAGATTGGGTGCCATTCGGCCAGTAGTGGGCCGACTGGGGCCAATTGGCCAGTAGTGCGCCGACTAGGGTCAATTGGCCAACAGTGGGCCGACTGGATCCAATCGGCTGGCAGTGGGCCGACTGGGGGCCAATCGGCCAGCAGTAGGCCGACTGGATCCAATTGGTCAGCAGTAGGCCGATTGGGTAATATTTTTAAAAAATATAATTACGGCATAATATTTCTAAAATTTAATATAAAAATGTATTATTTTAAAAAAAAATAGCTGTGTCCTGGGGCCCGTGCTCTCTTTTCCAATGTTGTGTGTTCGTGCGTGAGTGACGGAGGGGAACTTTTGGTCCATGGGTGTATCTACATTCTATATGGAATTTCTTTTATTAATCTAATAAAAAGTCAAAAAATCTGAAAATATTTTTGAAATAAACTTGATCTTCCATTTTACTTGTGAGAAAATTTTCATAAAAAGAAAATCCCCCTTTGACTTCTTTTGAAAAAAGACAATTTTTTGGCCAAAATAGTGTGAATAGTGACCTCCGATAGCTAATAAATTTTGTCTTTTT